AGAACTACAGAAGAGTCCAGCTGTAAATAGAATTATTAACACTCTTTACTCATTTGTGAGTGAGATGCTAATGGTCTAATCCGATTCAGTGATTTATGCTAAGCTAAGCTAAAAGTGCTCCTGCAGACCCGGAGATCAGCTGATGGATTCAGAAATAAATAGGTAACTCACCTATTTATATTTATTTCCAATAATAGTGGAGTGTTTGTTAAACTCAGAGTGTGTGAAACTCCACCGGTGATGCTGGAGCTGATGCTGCATGAGTGTGTGTGTGTGTGTGTGTGTAATGGAGAATGTCAGTCGCTCGCTCTATTTAAAGCTCACAGTGGCGTCTGTTGTGTCTTCAGATCTCAAGCAGAGGACAGACACGCGACACCACAGAGGAGAGCTGACCTCAGATCAGCCTGCGGAGGACAATTCACACACACACTATAACACTACATACACATTTATGATCCTGCACCTCTGACTTTATATCCAACTGTCTGGGGTATTCACAGTTTTAATAATGAGGTGAAACTCAGAGCGGCGAGATCTAAACTCTCTCTGAAGAGGAATGTCTGAAACTGCATCATTAATCCTCAATTCAGCGTTTCTGATTTGACATCTGAACTGTGTAAAGTCAGAAATCCCAGAATAAAAAGCCAGAAGTGTACACTTATGAGAATCGTGAGAAATGAAATCACAAATGCAAGAACAAGACTAGAATGAATGAGCTCTTTAATTATTATTAAAAGTAGATCAGCCAAAATCCTGAATTTCCTCTTCACTTCAACTTTATTGAGTTTCATCTTCTGTTGGACTCAAAACACGACATCCTGAAGAATGCTGGATAAAAGCAGACACCGACATGCATATTCAAGCAGAAAATACTGCCTGTTACTCCAGCATTCTTCACAATATCTTCCTGTGTGTTTGGAACAAGTGAAAGATGAAGAAATCCTAGGAATGATTAGTGATGTTTGAGTGATTGTGCTTTTACTTTACTGGTGATGTGGACAGAGATGTGTAATTACTCTTATATGAACGTTCAGCCTGTAACAGATGCTTCTGTACACTGTTTATTGATCAGCAGGACTAGAACCTGCAATGCTTCAGTCAGACTACACTCTAAAAACATCCGGAAACGAGCAGTTTTCCCCATTTCTGATGCATGTTTTTATTTTTCTCTGTTTATTTCTGCTTCTGCATTGCATTATGAGATCTTGATCTTTCTTTCAGCAACTCTTACCCTTGTAAAGTGTGTGTTCTGCACATGTGTATAGTGTGTGTTGGTGTTGTAGCCTATATTACACTACAGAACGCTTGTAATAAACTGTTATTCTACACACTTATTCCTCTAGATATTATGTCTTATATTATTTAAAACTAATAAAATGTCAATAAAAGTCACTTTGTTAAACAGTAGAGTTGACTTTACACCATCAGAAGAGGACAGAGCAGAGATCAACACCCCATAATGCAGTAAATAAACAGATATTCTTCAGTGTCCATCACAATCCCTGAAACTTTCTGCTGGATCTGAGCATGATTTCTGAAAGGCATGATGAGTTTCTCACCTTCTTCATGATGCCGGTTTTCCTCTTGCTGAAGGTGGTGTATCTCCGCAGTTTGTTGTCTATAAACTCCATCTTTATCTTGACTCTCCCCCGGGTCTTCTTGCCCGGTTTTGCTCCGGCCACTCCTCCGGCCAGCACCCCGAACCCTGCGGCGGGTAAGCCGGCCTCCTGCGCCCCCAGCGCCGCTTCCATCTCTGCTCTCTCCCGCTTGACTCCGCCGCTCCTCCGGGTGTCCCCCAGCGGGCCCGACTGCTCCTCCTCATCACCCGAGTCTGAGTCCGCGTCAGAGCCGCTGCATCCGTGTAAGGGACTCTCTTTATCCGGGTCAAACCTCACGGGCATCCCGATCCCCAAACCGGACAACATCCCTCCAGCCTGAAGCGGCCCCTGCCCACCGCTGCTCCCCGGCCGGAAGCCTCCTCTGGCGGCTCCGCCCCC